ACCCTGATTCTGAAATTAACCCTATTCCCGTTCCTGATCCTCATTGGGTATAAAATTTGTCCTCCCGATCCCTGATGGAGATGGATTTTCTAAATATATTTATTTAGAAATTAAAATAAATAAATTAATTAAATTATAAATAATGTTTTAAATATGTTTTGATATATAAAAATAATATAATAATATATTTAATATAAATAATATTTATCGGGTAGGGTGGGGACCTTAATCCCTATCCCCAACCCCGACCCCAATTGAGAATTCCAATTAATCCCCATTCCCATCCCCGCCTTGTCAAAACAATCTCCATCCCTGGGGAAGTCGGGTCCCGTTGGAAATGGGGAAAATTGTCATCTAAGACAATTAGAACCAATTACAAAACAGTTGAACCGGATGAATTCAGAAGTGAGGATGCAACTAATTACTAGTTGCTGCTTCAGTTCAAGGTAATTAATATTTGTCACTGTAAATTAATGGATGCATCTTTTTCATGTTTTCGCTAAGGGTGCATTTGAATGCGATGTAAACGTAAAAATATACCGATGGAATTATACACCGACCGATTTAAAGTTGTAGATCGTTATAAACTGACAAATGTGATTATCAATTTTATCGAAATTATATTTACATCGATTATTGAGTTTTACATTGATTTTTGATATTTAGGCTGCATTTAGAAACCATGTAAATATGTATAATGTAAAACAATTCTTATAGATTATAAAATTGGGTTATAAATTTACCTTCTTGCCAAACACTTAGCTTATGCAAACATGAATTTTAATAAAACATATGTTTTTTTTTTTATCAAAAGTTCACTTAAATACAAATTTATTTCTTTTTTATTGATGTACTTTTACAATTTATTATCAATATAAATATTCATTGATCTGTCATTTGTCAATTGTCAATGCATAAATATAATATTGTTAAACATAAATAAAAATGAACCAGAGTGCAAATTTATCCTAAACCGAATTTACACTCCATTTGACGCAGCCTAAACTGTGCCTTTGGGTCTAACTCCTTGAATTAATCCAATGGATGGCTGAGACAAACACTACCATTTCATAGTGGGCTTCTATTTTTCTGTTTTCAACGGCTTCCATTCTTGTCCATCAGATTTCTTGTTCCATGGGTAGCTCCTACACTGCTCTGCCACGTTCATTCAATGTTGCATCGAATCTTCTTTTGCCACACATTTACGTGCAAAACCCAGTAGCCAAAGCAGAAACAAGACTCGGAAAATTCAACCCTTATTTTCTGGATTGTACGAGAGAGCTAGTTCCCGAGAACATTAACTGTTGAAAAGCAGAAGCTAAAGTTCTGGGTTCTCACTTGTCAAAGAACAAATCTCGCCGAAGAGGTTTGAAACTGCAAACCAGAGCTACCCCCAGAATCCCAAATGACCCACCAATCCATTTAGTCTTAGGAAAGTGGGTATGATTTGATATTAATCCAATTCCAACTCAATAATCAAACTCGAATATGCCCTAAAAAAAAGAGAAATCTAGACCAGACCAGATCAAATGTTTATCCATCTCGTACGACGAAGAAGATGGAAGGCAGTTGGCCGCATGCTGGTTGCAATAATACGTTGCTGACTAGACATGACATCCCTACAGCTACAGATAGAGAGAGAAAGGATGAGAGAGTTAGGAAAGAGAGAGAGAGAAAGTCTTTTTGAGGAGATGGGAGGCAGGAGAAAAATGGGTCACGTTCATGTCTCCAACAAACGTCGAAACATGAGTCCAAATTGCTTAAATCCAACATGTCAGACATGGGTGAAGCCGAATAGAACAAGTAATCCTCAACCCAAAGCTAAGGTCGATAGATATAAAGACATGTCGTCCAGGCTCCAAACCGGAATAATTAATACGCCTGGATTGACGAAGGGCCGAGAGAGAGAGAGAGAGACGGGGTACATTTTTCGTGTGCTGGACGCGTACGCAGTGGAACAAGACAAACACCTCCTTCAATTAAGAAAAACCTTACATCTGTCGGTTATCCATATGGCATTCAATCTTTCAGCCAAGCTAATTTATAGAGGAATGGTTGTTGAGATTCTCCTCTTCAATCTTCCAAATCCCAACTATTCACATCTCATCACAGTACTGTTCTTTGATATATTAATTAAATAGAAAATTATTGATGGGTAGATCACCTTTCATGGACCATGTTTGGGCTTAATTTCCGGATTAGCTTCTATTAATGACCTGCTAAGAACAGACTAATTACCCACCTTCATGTTTTGAATAACTTTTTTGTGATATTTTATTTTGTTTACAATATTTTTGCATTTGATTTATTCATTTTTTATAGATTTTTATATAAAATCTGAAATTTTCGATGAAATATATGATGAAACAACATGATTTCAAGAAAGATTCTAAAATTTTGTTTAATTTCATTTCAATTGCTCCAAGAGGAAGCCACAACTGGGCAAAATTGCACCCACTTTTGATAGGGTGATGCAAACATACTCTCAAACCTCAATGGGGTAAGTCTTATTAGGGAAGAATTCAATTCAATAGCATTGAAAGTGCAGTCATCTTTGTACAGTCAAGCATATTCAGTCTCCATATTGTGCAATTAAAGTTTGCATAGCATCTTCAAATTGAAGCCACGAATATTATGGTTGATTTGGGATTCCTTTTATTATGCTTTAAGTTGGGATTCCTCTTTGTGCCTGTAAGGAATAAAGCTTGTTTTTGTCTTCTAATCATGTTTTCGATCTCATCTTGGGAGGATATGTCAATGTGTATGGTTTTGTTTATCAAAATAAACACTAAGGTCAGTCCCATTTGATTCGTGGGGACAAGGGTCTGGGATTGGAATTGAAATTAAAATCCCATTCTCATTTCTGGTGGAAATCTCATTCATGTATGAATCAGATAGACTATAGGAATAAACTGTTTTAATTCCAATTTAAAAGGATTTCAATTCCAATTCTAATCCTCACTGCCAATCAAACGGACCCTAAAATAGTATGATATTGGTGATGTTGAAGTTAGTCTTCTACATTAGTAAACATGGATTTAATTAACTCATCTTCCCCCTTAATTGGCATTTGAAATTGATGTTAAAAAATAAATAAAAGTGATGATGCCTAAAGGCATGGTTTTCAAAATCGGATCAAGACCAGACGGTCGGCCAGAAAAACTGGGAACTGGTCAGGTGATCGGTTTCAGTTTTTCCCAAAACTGGATTTTCTTCAAAAACTGTTGATTTTGGTCAGTAAACCACTGACTCGGGCGGTTAACTATTCAAACTATTTGAACAATTTTGACTGTTTTTATTTTTATTTTTGTCAGAACAAGCTGATCGTTCAGTTTGAATGATCAGACCGTTCGACCCGATAACTGGACCCCTGACCGATTCAGTCTCTGGGTCAGTTTTAAAAACAATGCCTAAAGGCGCTGACTAACCTATGCTGATTGCTGTAGACTTGGGATTGAATACCACCTTCACAGGTTTTTTCAGTAGAAACCTTAACTAGGGCTGAAGGCTTTGGGGGAGTCCAATTGCCTAATCGAAAAACAGTGATGACACTGAAAACATATATATGTTTTTTCTTTAATTGTTATTACATTTTGTGTAGTGGCATTAAATAGAAAAGAATTGGCCAAACAGGATTCACGTAACCAACTCTATAGTTGGGACAGGACTTGGATGATGTTACATGGCAAATTTAGATTCAATAACTTTTTGCCACGCGGCTAAAAAGAACAATTTATTACCCTTACATTTCATAAAAAATGTCTAAGTAATATGGAGTTTTTTTCTAGCAGAATTTATTTCCATGTAAAAAAAAGGGTGAAAAATAAAATCTTAATCATAAGGGGTCAAAAATTTAGGCTCAATATAAATACAAATTATGCACAATACAATTATATACAAAATAGAAGGCAACTTCTAATATTGGCATTAATTGAAAGGAATACAAATACAAATATATGAAGTATAAATACATACAAAATAATATAAAATATAAGGTTTTGTATTCTATATATTTGTATTGTACTCCTTCCAAACTGAGCCTTAATTGCAATTTTACCAATAAAAAATTCACACCCAAAATGAAAAAATGGGTTCACTGGCTTGGGCAGATCGACATGAACAATGGTAGTAAATCCATGGGATGCCCTCATGAGATGAAACATTCACCATGAATGAAACTCACAAACTGCAAGATTTAAAGCCATATATATTTTACCTTTCCTCCTCTTTTTCATTTTACCTTTTTTTCAGTCTTTTAGTTAGATTTCTTCAATTCCTCACTTATGGTTTTCTCCATTAAAAATGGGATTTATTCATCTTCACCCATTCCCAAATCTCTAGTTTCTGAACAAAAACACGTATTAATTCAAATGGGTCTAAATCTAACACTCCCACCATCAATCACATAATATCACCATAACGATTAGCCTTAACTCTAAACCAAATTTCCCCCTAATTCCTCCCCTCAATTTCATATGCAATTCTCCCCCTACCTTGAAACCGGATCTGCTCCTCAGGCGCCTCACACCATGCATTAGGAACACCTCCCAATGCACGGTGGATGTACATGTGAGGCGCCCATTTGTGAAGGGCAGATCCCGTCTCCCCTACCATCACCGTTCTCATCGGTCTCCTCTTTTGTACGTATAGAGCTATGCGTTACCACGCACCCATGCACAATATACATCCACCACTCTTCAAATCAAATTTTAAAATTAAAAAAAAAAAAATTAACATTAAAATCAGGCTTTAACTTTCCATTGCAAAAAAGAAATTAAAAAAAAAAAAAGAGAAGACGCGGGAATTATATCAAATAAAAGAATTTATATATGAATTAAATTTCAAAACCAAAGAAAATTTCCCAAAAGAAAGTCTGGAGCCTGGACGACTGGACCACCCATGTACATTTCCCCCATACAGACCTCCACCCAAAAGGAGAAAAAACTAAAAAACTTGAGCCTTAGTGAATTTTATAAAAAAAAAAAAGGCAGAAGGAGAGATAAACAACTGTAATTGTTTTTTTTTTCTTTTTAAATTATTTAAAATTAATCGATTTTCTTGTTTTTTTTTCTTTACTATGTACTTTCTGCAGTTGAGTTCAGTTCTTTCTACTATGGGCATGGCAATGGCATGCATGAGCATCGCATCAACTTGGGGCTTGGGCCGTGGGCCTTCTTGAGCCTTGAGCCTGATGGGCTTTAGGCCTTTCTTAGGAGAGATAGACCTCAACGCTGGCGCTTCTCCGAGACAGGCAGAGGGGACAGGCTTCGGCGCCGGCATCACACTCCGTACAGAGGCAGAAATGCCGACACGGCAACAGTACCACTGACGCCACTCGCCTTCGACACGCTTTACACACTGGGCCTGACAACGACGATGACACGACTCGCTCCGGGTCAATGTAAGCCGACTCGGCGTCCTCCGCGTGCGCCTCTCCCGCCCCTGCGCACCCTAGCCCCTCTCCTTCCCTGTTATCCTGCGCCCCCCCACTCATCATAGCCTGCTGTATCTGTGCCTGCAGGGATGCCGCCGTGGCCTCCTGCTGTCTCACCTTGGCTTGCCACACCTGCGCCTCCACTCTAAGTTGCGCCACTCGCTCTTCCAGCTCCGCGTGTCTTCTCGCTGCTTTCTCCACCTCTGCATCTTTTTCCCTCAGTCTTCGCGCTGCAGATTCTTCCACTGCGCCCAGTAGCGCCCGGTAGTGCCTCTGCCTTCTCTCTGCTAATGTGCGCCTCAGTTGGTCCCCCTAAAACGACAATACGTCGATACCCACTCAGCTTCTTGAGTTTCACAGAGCAACTAATGAACGAAACGGATGCCCATTTTATTTTTATGTCGAGAACAGGAGAATAATAGAATATAGTACCTGGGCTTGAAGGAATTGATCAATTTCGTCTCTCTGTTGCTTTAATTGAGCAGCGAGATCTTTTGTTAGGAAGGATGAGATAATCGAAGAGGGAAGAACCAGACTCTGCTGTTGCTGTTGTGGGTGCGGCTGCTGCTGCTGTTGATGATGTTGATGTTGCTGCTGCTGTTGGTCTCCGAAAGCCAATCGAAGGCCGGTGGAGACGACATTGGGTTGTTGGTTATGGAGTTGTGCAAGGTTCACCAGCGTTGGTGGTGTCTGAGATTGCAGAGAGAAGAGGTCGATTGGTGCCCCGGCTGCCGCAACAGCAGCGACAGCTTCTCTGCCTCTCTTGCGTGGATTGGTGCCCACTGCAAAAGAACACCAAAAGAGGCACATCTTAGAACCAGACAGACCTCGTTTAAGCCCCCCAAAATTGGCCTAAATCCCATGGAGCAAAAGAAATAGCAGAAAAACAATAGGACCCATCTCACCTCCATTGCTGAAAAACATATGGGACTGGTCAAGGAATCCTCCCGGCTGCGGTTGCAATGAATAATCACCTCCAAGTGCGTTACTTCGATCCTGCCCGCTTCTGCAAACAACCCATTAATCAGGGCAACGAACCCATTAGAATGAGAAGAAGCTTAAGAAAGTAAAGGAAGAACAGAAGGCAGAGAAGATAGAAAATGAGATAAATACTAATAAATGATGCAAGGAGAGAGGTCGCAAACCTGTTGAGGAGCAAAATATTTGATGGGTATTGAGCTTGAACAGCCATTGCAGGTAATAAAGAGACAGAAATCGAAAGAGGTATAAATTAAAGAGGTGAGACAAGGCAGTGGAGGAGGAGAAACGAAGAGAAGGGTATACGAAGAGGTTTGTCGAGCGAGAGGGTTAATTAACGTGCACACACCAGAAGCATGAGAGAGAGAGAGAGAGAGAGAGAGGCTCCCCCAAAGCAAGGCGGATTCTTCAATGGAGAGGAGAAGAAACGAGACAGATAAAAGGAGTGTCTTCTCCCACTTTGTCACCAACTTTCTTTTGTTTGCCTCCTGGTTTCGCTTGGTTTGTTTATCTCTTTCACCCACGCATTGAGAGAGAGAGAGAGAGATGCGATCTCAACGAATCAGTCCAAGAGAGACACCTTATTCTCCTCCTCCTCCTTTGCTCCTACTTCTTTCGCGGCGTTGGCTTTCTATCGTTCTTTCCTTATTTTTATTTTCTATATTTTTTGTCAAAAGGGGTATATAAGTAGAGGCATTGTGTCATGTGTTGCTGTCAACTTATCATTATTAAATTCTAATTAATTAATTTGATAAATAATTTCTGAATTAGTTAAGTTGTTTAGGGGGGAAGAGAGGTTGTGGTGTTGGTTTTGTTGCTGTTGTTAGGCTTTTACAGGGTTCTGCCATTAGGATTGTTTTAAGGGTAGGAGAGAGAAAAAAGGGGAAAAAGAAAAGAGGAGAAAATATGTTTTTTTTTTTATTTTGCTGTAATTTTTTATTTTCTAAATATTTTTACTTGGTTTTGAAGATTCAAACATTCAACAGCTCTTTACCCTTTTACTTCCTTATCTTAGAAAATAAAGAAAGAGAGGATATTAGATCACCTCTGACCTAATTGCTTGGTTGTTAGTTAAGTTGTTTTCCCTTTTTTCTCCTCCCCCAAGTTATTTTCCTTAATAAAATTCCCCACACAAGAAAACCTTTTCAAAATTACTAAGGTAGCCTTGCCCTTTATTCAAGGGCACATGGATGGAGAAGTCCCTTTATTCAAGGGCACTTAGGTGGAGAAATTTTCCAATTATCAACTGAAATCATCCCCCCCCAAAACTAAATTGACTAAAATGTTGTAACCCCTTGCATCATTAGGTCTGGTGTTCTGTGTTTATACCTCTGGCTAATCTGTCTGAATCTCTTTATACTAATATGAATTGGGTTTTAAATCGGGTGTGAGATTTCTTGATAAGACAGCTCAAAGTTGGAAAAAATAGAAATTTAAAAATAAAAAAACCCACCTAACTGATCATCCTGTTTTTCTGGGACTGGTTTGAAAGCTCTCAACCAATTTAATTCCGTGGGAGGTTCAATTAGTCCAATTCAACTAACAATGCTTTGGTTGGAATCAAAAGGATCCCAATTTGATCATTTAGACCTATTTGGTCCCAATTGTCAACATTGAGAGCTGAAGCCCTGCAGAGGGTTTTGATTTTCATAAAAAATAATAAAGAAAACAGAAGGGAAAGGAAGCATCATATGAGTTGATGGTTTTGATGATTTTATGTAGGATTATAAGAAATTGAAAGTCAGATTCATAAAAGCTGAGATAAAGTTAAGTTGGTATTGGTAATCTTCCCTCAAACCAAGAACCATCTTATTTTAATTGAGATGTGGAAGAAAGGAAGAAGCTACCAAAAAGAAAAAGAAAAGAAAGAGATTGGGGGGTTTGTTTGGATGGGCATCACCTAGGACCCACTAGGGCGGCCTCTTCTTTTAATCTCTATCTAAAACAGAGTGATTACAGTAAATTGCTAAAGAGGAGAATCAGTTGTTTAGACCCTGAACAGCTTATCAAAAATAAATAAATAATAAACCCTTTGGAGCATTTTATCTTGGGTTTCCCCAGATGCCCTTAACTTCATCCTCGGATTCCCAAACTAGCCTTGAAGCAAATTAAATTTCAGTAAATGTTAGGGCATGAAACAAAAGAAAAATGTTATAGAAAGGACAAATGGAGCCTCCTCTAACATGTGAATTGGAGTATTCTAATCACTGTTCTTGTCATTCCAGGTCCCCAGATGTTCAGCAATTTCTTTTTTTTTATTTTCCTCTGCTTGGAGGGATAAATTAAGCATCAATATTAAATTAATTTTCACTCTTGGGTTAGTCAATTAGGAATTGATTGACCATCAAGATTAGCAAAATTTTCTATTTTATTTCATTGGAGATGTGGCAAATTAATATAATCTGTCACTGTTGCCACCATTATCATCATCACTTCATCTCCATTAAGTCTTATTCCAAGTATTTTAGATTTGATACACGAATCCTGTTCCATTATTCTGATCTATTCTGATCTATCTAGACCCTTTTCTTTTTCTTAATCAATAGGGTAGGCAGCTCCACCCGTGAAGAAAAATGAAAAGAATAATTGGATTTTAAAAAGGATTAATTGGATTTCTATTTTATTTTAGTTTTTGATATCAATGAACTCAATAATGCTTAATTAATCAGATAAAATTGTCTAATTGGTTTTCCTTCTCATTTGGAAAGTCTCCCACAGTAAGAGAAAGCATTTGGGCTTGAGATTAGGTCTCTAATTGAAATTATTTATTTATTTCTTTTCCTTTATGAGATGGGGCTGGGGATGGGAGAGAGCACAGATTAATGGGGTGTTGAATTTGTGCTCCAAATGTGAAACACCATTTCCAAGAAGTCTCGTGAAATAAGGCGCATTTCCTTGGGCTGTAGGCACACCCACTTTACTTGGGCATTTCTTTAATCCTAATCCACCCATTCTCCATGCATTTCATTAACTCTTTAGAGCCCTTTTCATTTTCTAGGTTTTCCTTTCTTTAATGTTGTTTTCTTTTCAGGATTTTTCTTTTCCTCTTTTGAGGGATGACACAATCCTCACTGCAATGCCCACCTCCACCACTCCCCCACACAGTCTACCCACTAACTTAACTATGGGTTTTCCTCTCACACCAAAAGAAGCCCTCAACCATCCACACTCACAAGATGGGCAAGAAGTATTTTTACCTTTTCAGCTTCTTCTTACCCTCTTTTGATCACACTTAAATCATATATTAACTCATCCTTTCATGAACTCAACATGATTCATCAAAAGCAAGTGATGAGTCTTAATGGGGTTTGCCCAAAAAAAAGAAAAAGATTGAAATTTCAATCACTGTGGCCAAGGGTATGTATATAAAAGAAGTATATTGTGAAGTTCGATTGGATGACAAGTAATAACTGATTTGTGTACTGTGTAGATACAAAATGATGTATTTGGTACACCTATATTTGCAAGAAAAGATGTTTTAGTCTTTATTAGGCTGGTCCAACAAACATTACTACTGCTGGTCTACCTTTTGGATTAGTTGATACATAATTGTACCCATATGATCTGTAAACCCTTCTTCTTTGATTGATATAAGGCAATGGATGGACCCAAAACAACTATTCTATTAAATGCCCCAGAACATGACTGAGCTATTTTCTCTCATTACATTGATGTTATGTGCCACCTGAGTAGAGCTACCATGGTCTACTCTACGGCCAGTCTGCATACAAAGCTTGATCTGTCCTGCTGGTCCTGTGGACCAATTCAAAGATGCACTCTGTGCTCATGGGTGTTCATCAATATCCAGCAAAGTTGTTTGGCCAATTAATGCTAGAAATTGTTAAAAATAGCAAAAGAAAAAAAAAAACAAAGTCAGAAAATGATAGGCCTGGTACACATGAATGTACTCCTCTGCTGGTTGTTATAATATCATAGAAAAAATACCAAAATTTATCAACAAACTCTTGATAATGCTTGCATATATAGCATTACTGCCCCTGAGGAGTTCAGTAGGTGTGATTGCAATGCAGTAAAGCCAGTCTGATTCAGTACCTGTAGCTTTTTTTTTCTTGAATTAACTTAAAATGGAGTTTGAAAGTAAAATTCACTATTAATTAGTTCAATTTTTTTGTGGATTAATTGAAAAAAAAATAATTGCACGGTTATTTGTACCGATACAATGCCGGGAAGGCATAAATTTTTGAAATATTTATGAATTTATATACATTTGAATATATATGAAATTATGGAGCATGGGTAAGGTAGAGACTTTTATTTATATTTATGATATTGTCAGCAGATGGGAGGGGTGTGGCATGACTTATGAGCAAGTACTTGGTCTCTTATAATGTCTGTCACAAGAAGTTGCACAAAGCCTCATGTGGGAGAGAGAGAGAGAGAGTCTTGGAAAGATGGTTTTTTGAATTGACAGAAGAAATGTGAGAGTTTGGGGTTTTTTGTATTTTGCTTCAAGAGAATTTAAAGCTTTCTGCAACTCCCCTCAATTCATTGTGGTCACACCTTTGGAACCATCCAGGGCTCCATTACCAGGCAGCTTCTGCCTCCACCCTGTATTACTACCAATCCTGTGTAAAACATATGTACCCTCATTTGGTATGAATCCAACCATGGACATCAAGCAATTCTCTATTGTTCAGTTGTCAGACAGACCCCACATTTTAATCCAGATGATCAGAGCCACTGATCTATCTGTAGCAGAAAGGGAATCAGGATCACCCACCAACCATTGAATTTATTTATCTTTTGTTGAGGGTGTTGTAATGGATGAGGTTCTAAGTTTACATCAAGGATGGAGAATAAATTGAAAGAAATGTGATATAAGCATTTGAATCAGTGGTCCCCCAATCCAATGGACAGGACTGTGGCCAGGTAGCAATGGGATGAAATTAATACTGGGGGCCATCACATCAACTTCTTTGGTTCAAACCTGGCCTTAGCTATCTTAGGAGTGCAAACTAAGCAACAAAAAAAAGAAAAAACCCATAAATTTGAAATGGAGACAATGATGTAAATGCATGCCTAAATGGGAATCTTGGAACCGGGTCGGATCACAAACTGTCTGGACCATAAGGCAGACATGTAGTACTACTACTCACTGGAGACTGGAGTCCAGTTCCAGGTACAACCTAAATGGTTCCAAACCCGACTGTCAAAAACATGTGACCATTTTAAGTAGAGGAGAAAAGCACCAAACTGGAATTTGTAATAGTCGAACAAACAAACAGAAAGGGAAAAAGCAAAGCCAACCCATATTCTCATATTTCAGTGGTTGAGCCACTCTGTTAATGGGGGAGCTCATCACGGGTTCAAACCTGTTGAATGGGTAGGCTTCCTCAGTCTGTACCAGTGGACCATGGATAGATAGAGTAGAGCCATAGAGGGCCCCCATTCCCCCCTTTTTTGCAGTTTCCTTGCAAGTGTATCCCGTTTGGAAAAACTAGAATTCACCTTGTCCACTAAGGAGGAAGGAATAATAAAAGCAAAATACCAACAAATATAATTGTTTTCTTTAGCAAAAAACACAAATATTTTTCCTTATTTATAAATTGCAATGAAATAATTAAGGGGTGGATATTTAAAAAGCAAGAAAAACTTGTATGATATATGAAAGTAAAAGTGAGAGAGAGAGAGAAGAGTGTT